ATCCAAGTTTATTAAGGGTTGCTGTAAGACAAGACTGTTGCGCAAAAAGATTTTTAAAAAACCCCGAGAGCGCATTTCCCTTTTGCGCTCGTTGCAATTAGAAACCTTGTATTCCTCATTTTGTAAAGGATTTGCATCTTTGTTAATAGTTACGCGAATGTTAAATTTTTTAAAAACCAGCTGAAATACATTCATGCAAACATTGAAAAGTTTATCCATAGTCCAACCTTGACTCTCTTTGATATTAACACGGCATAATGAGTTTCTCAAAGATTCAGATACTGTTAAAAATGCTTTTTGTTATAAGACTGTCCTGGAATATCATAAGACTGTCCTGTACGGAACTATACAATTTCTTTTACTGACCCATCAAAATCATTCCCTCTTATCACCAAATTTTTGTCTATTTTTTGGCTCTAGACTTCCACTGACGCATGTGGGCAAATAAATCGCTTTTTTGGAGACAGCTTTTTTTTCGAAATGTACAATTTGTGAATCGCCTAGTAGCGGAGAAATGATGGAGAGAAAACTAAAAAGGCCTTCGTTCAAATCGTAAAAAAACTTCAGAAAGGCGATTTATTCGCTCACACAGGTCAATTTGATCTTGCGACGAAAATTTTTGCTGAAAATTAGATACTTCGGTGATAAGAGGGTCTGTTTAGTTTTTTTTTTCTAAGAGAATAAAGAGAACTGTAGAATTTTCAAGAGTCGTCTAATTCCAGGCGAAACAAAAGGACTTTTACGATATTTTCTACTAAATTTGCTTTTGAAACTTTGGTACGAACGATGCTTCCATGCCTCTTTATTCTTTTTTCTACTTTTTCTATTGTCTCGGCAGCTCCGAAACCGGCTAATTTGGCTAGTAAGTGTTTATATTCGAATGAGGTCAGATAATTGCCATACCCGGCTCCCGGATACACAGTTTAGAAAAGGGAAGCTCAAATTATTAATACAAGCTACCACCAGAGTTCTAAAAATACGTATCTGGCTGCAGGATCCACGATTTGGAGAAGATATTTGCTGAGTGCGGTCGAAAAACTAAGAAAGGTGTGCAGTGGTAGGGAAGCCACACAGTAAACCACTTTTCTAGTCCGTGGATCCTGCGTTAAATCGAAATCTGAGGAGATCTTTCTAAAATTCCTAATACATTCTAAAATTTAGATTGTGAGCGCAACTCAGATAAAACCTGCGACTGCAAAAATACCGGTAACTTTTGTTCTTTTCTTGGGATAATTTCAATTTATATCTAGCCGCTTTGAGGCCTCTCCTACGTTCGTGGAATGAAAAAATCGGGGATCATTTCTACATGATGAGCCATGAAGAGCAACTGAATGCAATCGGCTTGGCTATACGATGGAAAGTCCGTTTCATCACCTAACCATAACCATAACAATGAGTTAGCAAGGAGCCGAATCAACGAAAATGATTATTTAAACTAGCGAGGAAAGCTTCCAAGTTCCAAATGTCTTTCGAAAATGTTGTGAACAATTTCTAGAGGAGAATTTGACGCCAAATCCGAATCTGGTGTCAGATTTTCCAGAACAGCGCCGGAAGGGCTTAAAATTGATCCCAGCTTTGCGTGTAAGCACAGTCATTAGATTTTTTGAAAAATCTAGTCACAGAAGTGGCAATTACAAGCTGACAAACGTTAAAAATATTTTTTGATCTGAAATCAATTCATACAGCGACAAACTCTAACAGCTATACTCATTCAGACGATATGGGGACTGATCGGCACTGTATCGCCAAGTGGTTGTGCGCGGAATCGTGCCAATCTACAGGATGTGGTCGGACTTAGCAAGTGAGTTGCATTATTCTGCTCAAAAGCAGAATAACGTATGCCTTTTCAGGTGATCACCTCTATACGACGAACTACGACGAGAAAGAGTATGCACTCAAATGGCACCGGTACAACCTCGAGAGCACAATGGGCTACTGCATGGCGGCGCCTGGCTGCGGTCTAGTGCCTCTGCATCGGTTCTGGAACCCGCAAATTCGAGGTATCCGGTTAGATTTAAAAAAATCAATGAATACAGAGCTCTAAAAGCACCGAAATGAGTTGCAGGCTCTACCGTTTAGAAAATATATTGGATATAGCTGCTATAGCTATAGCTGCCTTATAGCTAAGAAAAACGAGCAGTGATAGGGCAGTTACCCAGCAAACACCTCCTCCTAAACCCTGGACCCTGCAGTCGGATACGGTATCTTTGGAACTCTGGTAGTAATAACGCTATTGTAGTTGTTGTAGTGGTAGTCTTCAACATGTTTCCTTTTCTAAGCCCTTTTCTTAAGCTCTGGATCCTGCAACCGAATACGGTATTTTCAGAGCTGTGGATGAGATACATTGCTGGTAAAAGCGCAAAAAAAATGTCTAGTCAGTCAGGAAATAGGTGATTCTGAGTCAAATTTTAGATCATTTCTATACGAGCGACGAAGTGGAGAAGGACCAGGTGCTTCAGGATGACGCTTGGCGGTACGAGGGAATTCATTGCTACGTCTGGCAGTCGCTTGATTTGACGGACTGTTGAATTTTTCCATTTTTTTCTCTTATAACTTGTACAATGCATAAATTGATTTTTGAAGCTTCAATCGGCTCACGAGTCAGCAGGACAGGGATAGCCACACTTTAAACTGAAAAATGGAATCTTCTTTTTGCTAGTACTTTTGAAGAGCCATAAGTGCATTTCCGTCTCCCGTATTCAAATCTATACATAAAGAGACATAAAAGTCAAATTCAAAATGAGCTTCGTTTGCTTATTAGTTTTGGCACAATCATGGCTTTGTATTGTGGGAAAAATTCCCGATAAAATCAGGCCCGGCCTGACCCGGCTGATAAGAGCAAGTCTACTGAGCTTTAACTTCATAAACAAGAAAGACTTTTGTCTTTATGACTATCAGAATTAGCATATATAGCGAGCGTTAGTCTAATTTGGTCAGAATTGGTCGATTTATTTGCCCACATGGATCAGGAATGTTTAGTTTTTCCATTTTTTCTCTTATGACTTGGAGCTTCAATCTGCTCATGAGTTAGCAGATCACGAGCCACACTTTAAACTGAAAATGGAATCTTCTAGAGATAGACAACTTTTGGTGATAAGAGCGAACACGTTTGATGGGTCAGCCCGAAAAAGAAACTGTACAGTTCCTATGACATTGATGACTTTTTTGGCGTTGGCGACTAATTTTCATGACTTTTTATGGCTAGATAGATAACTGACTGCCTATGTTAAGTTCTTATGATTGGCCTGATGACATTGACAGTACGAGGGATTAATCAAAAGTCCGAAAAGCTCAAAAAGTCATGCACTTCCACGTGTTTCATTGGAAAGCATGTGATCGGGAATTCAAAAAAGAAAAGAACTAGAAAAGAACTAGAAAGAGAAAAGCTTTCCATTCAGAAAAGAGAAAAAAAACGCCCAAGTAGGAAAAAGATTGAGGGAAAAACTACTGGCCATTAGTGGAAATATTGGGAAAATTTAGAGATACAGGATTTTCTTCTAAAAAACGACTGAAAGAAGCTCTCTTTCTTTTTCGTTGGCCAAACGGGGATTCTTTGAATGGATCGCGGTTGGAGTTGTGCCAAAAATGGCCGCTCCAAGACCATTTTCCCCCATTGAGCCACCCATTGGTCAGCTGTAAATATAGACTTCTTTCAGCGACGCGTCGCAAATTTGAATCCAGGAAAAGAATAAGGAAGGAGGGGATTTGAAAATAAAGAAAAGGAACCAAGGAAGTTAATACAAAGAACTTAAAGGACCTTGAATGCCTTGAATGGGAAAATAGCGTAACTTGCCCTAACAAGTCGTACAGAATACGAACAGATTTGCAATGAGCTAACAAGTTACCAGTTAAACTTTGCAAGGGGTCAAAAGGATTGATCTTTTTTGTCTTACCGTATCGCTCAGGGAATTCAAGTTATGGTGAGCCTGAATGGCATAATCTTGTAAATGACTTGCTAAATATGCTTCTATAATATTAGGTTGAGGAAAAAGTTCTGACTAAGCTGCGAAAAATTCAATTTTTATGCATTTTTGCAAAGAAAAGCAACCAAGGAAAGTTAATACAATGAACTTGAATGGGAAAATAGCGTAACTTGTCCCAACAAGTAGTACAGAATACGATGCTAACAAGTGAGCTAACAAGTTACCAGTGCTAATGAGCTAACAAGTTACCAGTTAAACTTTGCAAGGGGTCAAAAGGATTGTCCTTTTTTGTTTCGCCTCATAGAAATGCGATTTTCTGTCGGCAAATTTGATTAAACTGGAGCTTCGTAATAAAATGTGATTACAGAATTTGAGACTCATTCAAATTGATCTAGAAATTAAAGAAAAATCCGATGACATCTTTTTTTAAAAAGAAAGCATCGTTTTTCAACTTGATTTGATGCTATTTATCAAAAAAAAAACATAAGGAATCGTAACATTTTATGAAAAACGATTTCTCAAAAATCAAATTAGGTTTTTTGCCAGGTGTATCGCAACTCTCAGCTTTGCAAAGTCATATAAACATTCTTGATACGTTAATCAATTAGAAAATGAACTTGGCTACAGGAGACATACTTAACAATCGCCTCCAAAAATTTCATACGGATTCATTGAGTTCTCGCTGAGCTAGACCCTCAGACGTGAGTCGCGGTCACTCTACAGAGTTGGTCTCTCTCTAGATGCTTGCTATTCGTCTAACTATCGATTTAAACTTCGATAGCTTGCTGTACAGAGTCATTCAAGAAACATCTTCGATATCAACATGAAAAACTCTAACAGATTCGCTAGATCTGGTTCAAAAAAGTCACTTTTAAGTTGGAACTGTTCCCGGCCAAATAATAAGTTTAAAAGTTAACTGCAATCTCAATGATCATTTGAATTCACATTGAAGAATAGTGTGCGTGAATTAGTCGGCAGTAGTTTTTGCTTAATTACATTTTTTCTGCAGTTTAATTGTGTATTTCTGCAGTTTTAAATCAGAGCCATTTATTTGCAAAGACACACATTCTCATTTCATTTGTGCCTCTCCTCAAAATCACAATAATATGGCTTTGATGTAACAACGGTGCCCATCGTTTTCTCAAGCGAAGGAAGGGTTTTGCAAGATATCTGAATGATTGTATTGTAAATTGCTAAAGCTTGACACTGGCAAAGCTTGACACTGGCAAAGCTTGACACTGACAAAGCTTGACACTGGCAAAGCTTGACACTGACAAAGCTTGACACTGGCAAAGCTTGACACTGGCAAAGCTTGATACTGGCAAAGCTTGACACTGACAATTCTGAAAATCTTACTTTGAATCGTTGAAAGAGATTTGCCAGGAATGAATAGAGTTCCAATTTCGCCATTCCCTCTCCAGCACATTGTCGCTTCCCAACGGAAAACGGGACAAGTTCGGGACGATTTTGATAGGATCCATCGGGTTTCAAGAAACGATTTGGATCGAATTTGTATGGATCGGGGAAGATCTAAAATTTGCAATGATTTTTGCGGCAAAAAAAGACTTTAAATAGAAAGCTTGATGTCAATTAAATCTTGTCAATCTGTCAATCTGTCAATCTTGAGCTGAATGTCAATTGAATGTCAATGTCGTGCTTTATTCAACTGTGGAAACTTAAAATATTCAGCCTATTCTACTGACAATCTTACTATAATTGCAGTTTTCATTACGGTTTTCTATTCGGGTATTTGTTTTGGCTTTAAGGTGATAAAATGATCCTTTCAAATTATCGCGGTTCTTTAAAAAACGTCAACTTCTAAATCAAAAATTTCAACGGTACATTATCCAATTGGATTACTTTTGGTTTTATTCGATTGTGCTTGAAGTTAACTGGATATAACGATAGTAAAAACCGGTCCATTGGCTATAGAGATATAGAGATTCGACTGTACTTCGATGTTCCAAAACCAGAACCAGAACAAAACCGATGTTCCAAATTTCAGGTAAAGTTAAAATGATTCTAGAAGATAGGGAAAGCTTTCGACAGCACAGTTTTTCTTTTTTCTTTAATTGTGATAACTGACCAGAGATAATTGTGCTTAAAAGTTGAAGTAAAATCTTCTTATTAGCTTTTTAAATGCTTCAAGATGTTTGCATTTGAGAACAAAGTATATTTGTTGATCTTTTTATCGATTTTATGGAGTTCTTTCTCTTTTTCCGCAACAAGCTCTTCGAGTTTTGCCATCTTTTCTTTAACCAAATTATAGTCACGATATCCTTTGATTTTGTTTTCTTTGTGCACCATGATGACCAGCTTCGAGATCTTTCCTTTTTTTATGTACACACCAAATTTTCGGCTGTATTTGTGGTGCTTGCGACTATTTTTCCAGTTACTTTATCAAGAGTTTATCATTTCACTACTGGAGCTATCATTTAACTATTGGAGCTATCATTTCACCATTGGAGCTATCATTTAACTACTGGAGCTATCATTTAACTACTGGAGCTATCATTTAACTACTGTACTTACCTAAACAGCTGTTTGTGGGATAAAGATAAAGCTGTACTTATCTAAACATTCTAAAGCTTGTCATCAATTTAAAGAAGACTGCAATGCAAAAGAATACCTGCAGCTGGCTGGCAAAATAGTCTTAAGCAAGTTAGCAGGCAAGGATTTGTACAAGGATTTCTACAAAAAATGCAAGTCAACTCCTTCTAAACTAACCTTTTCATCGTACAAAACACTGCAGATTTGTGGAACCATAATGGTTCCAGCAGGGATTTTATATCCTTTAACCACAACTTCTTCCGAATTCAATCGACAGAGGTTTTGAGGAACAAGATTGGCAAGTCGTTGAACTTCCTGAATCATTCCTTTTTGAGAGATGATTCTTTAACCTACACTAATCACAGCATTGGTGTAGGGTAGAGAGTTTTTATCGCTCATTGTAATCTTTCGATCCGATCTAATCACTCGATCCAACTCTTCGTGAATTTTCGTTTGCACATCCGGGTTGTTCATGATGTAGACAATTGACCAAGTAAGGGTGTTTGAGGTGGTCTCCATTCCTAAAACAGAAAATTCGTGCAGCTTCGAAGAATAAACCCAAGTCAAGCTTAACCGGAAACGTGAGTTTATTTTATCAGCCTTATACATTTTTCAGAAAGTTCAAGAGTTAGAACTTATTGTTACTCTTAATTTAAAGATTTCTCTCGGATTATGGGACATTTGATACGCGCCCTGCTGCCTTTGCCATTGGCAATCCTACTTTGAGCTCAAATATCTTGGTGTTGAGCTGTATAATTTAAATAGTTTTTGCAACAGTCGACAGAGAAAGACTTGGCGCATTGAATGATACCAAGCATGTTTGAATTGGACAGCCCAACACCAAGATATTTGAACTCAAAGTTAGATTGCCAATGGCAGAAGGGCGGGGCGCGTATAAAAGGTTATCAGACATCTGATAAGCCCCACCCCCTTTGCCATTGGCAATCCAACTTTGAGCTCAAATTTCTCGGTGTTGAGCTGTACAATTTAAATAGTTTTTGTACCAATCGACAGAGAAAGACGTGGCGCATTGAATGATACCAAGAATATCTAAATTGGACAGCCAAACATCAAGAAATTTGAGCTCGAAGTTAGATTGCCAATGGCAAAGAGGGCGGGGCGCGTATAAAAGGTCTCCGTCGCCCCGCCTCCTTTACCATTGACAACCTAACTTTAAGCTCAAATATCTTGGAGTTTGACCGTCCAATTTAAAGAGTTTTTGTACCAATCGACAGAGAAAGACTCGGTGCATCCAATGATATCAAGAATATCTAAATTGGACAGCCAAACATCAAGATATTTGAGCTCAAAGCTGGATTGCCAATGGCAAAAGGGCGGGGCGCGTATCAAATCCCCAATAACCTTCTCTCGTTCTTGTTGTAAATGTTCGCCCTTGTTCTGAAATCTGAAGTAACAAGACAAGTTTGCAGATTTCTAAGTAGCTAAAGATAAAGATAAAGATAAGCAACATCTTAAGATTTTAAATCAGGATCAGCTCTGAAACCGGCTTTAGCCCACATAAACAGAGCCCTTAAACTGGGCTTGGTTTACCATATTGTTTTTGCTTTTCAGCCATCTAATCACTTACCCGCGGTCCAAATATCGAAAATCACTGCCTCAAGTTGTTGCTCACTGAAATTTCACCATTTTGCTCTCCTTGTCTTCCCATGGAACTCACAAATAGAATTCCTCTTGTTTCGTCCCTTTTTTTCTTTCCCATTCTTTCAAATAACTTTCCACGAAATCCTCCGAACTCTAAACTTCTTTTCATTCAATAAATTGATCTCTTTTTCTCACATCCACACCATAATTGATCTGTTTTCTCTTTTCAGCGATTTGCTTTCGTACGAATCCATAAAGGACATCTCGATCGGCAAGCAAACGATTATAAAAACCTGGAAGAAATAAAGAATTTGTAAGCTAAACTTTTTCACTTACCATTTATAAAAGGAAGGCTTTTGATTATTGGAGAACAGCTGGCCAAAATGATTAACGGGTTTTGCAATTTGTAGACTAGTTGACGAAGGGCCGCTTTGAGAAGGTCGAACTCGTGAAGATGCTCCTAAATCCAGAGTTTAAAGGTATTTTCTATTTTTAAATATTGCATATGCATTATTTATATATTTAACTTCAACTCTTCACCTCATCAAAACGATATCCGAAAAGAATATTGTTGATCACCGAGCCAACGGCGATGTCGAACTCATTCTGAAAACAATTTGAAACATTTTAAGCCAATGCAATCGTAACTTTGGGTTCGTAATTGATAATAGAGTCCTCCGTTTTTTAAAAAGGTGGGTGATTTGGAAAGCTACCGTAATCTTTCTTCAGGTTTCCGAGCTTTGTCTGTTTTTCATAAAAGCAAAGAAGTTTGTCGGCGGCAGGACTTGAACCCACCGCAAATGGTGTCAGGGTTTTGTAGCCTGGCACACTACCCTCTAGGCCACCGCTATTCTTTACTCATTCGCGTGTGGCACGCTCTTATGGGCTAGAGGGCGATTTTTCGAAAATGGGCGAAACTTCAAATGCATTTTTCCTGCCAGAATTTTAATTTGGGCAAAAACTGAACAGATATTTGAAATGCCCATATCCGACTGATGCTTGTACTCTGAGCTTATCCCGAAACGTCAGCCCCAGTTTCGATTGTTCCCTTGTAAGGCACAAAGCAATCACTAACTAGATCGACTTGACGAACTTACATTTGGAAATATGAAAAGAGTTTGTGAAAGATTTGGTCAGTAAAGGATTCACTTGTCATTTCAAACGAGGCAACTCACTTTTCCGGAAAGAATAGAATACAACATGAAACTTGAAAAATTGCTAAAAACTTTCAGGAGTCACTTAAGCTACTGAACCTACAGATTTAACAACTTCAACCTACTCAACTTACAGATTTAACAACTTCAACCTACTCAACTTACAGATTTAACAACTTCAACCTACTCAACTTACAGAATTAACAACTTTAACCTACTCAACTTACAGATTTAACAACAAACCTGCATGTAAACGTTTTCCTTTTGCGTGGCGAGTCTCTCAAGGAGAAAATCCACCTCGATCATCACCTAAAAACAATAATTCACAGAAAAAAAAGTTGAAATTTTACCCGTTCTTCCATAATATTTCTACCCATTCCAAAATCACGTAAAGTATGCAGAGTCAAGCTGAATTACCATTACACAAGCTTTCTGTGTGGAATTACCGCCTTTGTTCTCGCCACAAATCTCCCTGTGAGCTGATCACCCCCGAGATCGCCACCTGAAGCATATTTTGAATGATATGTCAGGTTTTTTTTAAAAGTTCAGATAGTTTTTCAATTTACCTTTGAAATCTTTCATGAAATCCCCAAAGAACCAACGATCCACATACTTTTCCCCGTCTTTTATAAAGGTTTCTTTGATGATTTCATAGTCGGCAATTGAAACAATCGGGAGACCGCCTAAATTAGGAAATTAGGAAAAGAATATTAACTAGTTGTTTTGCTGTTTAAGCTGTTTTGAGTCAGCTGTTCGGTCAGCTTTTTAAGCTGTTTTGAGTCAGCTGCTTTGTCAGCTTTTAAGCTGTTTAAGCTGTTTGGTCAGCTGTTTAAGCTGTTGAGTCAGCTGTTTTGTCAGCTTTTTAAGCTGTTTTGAGTCAGCTGTTTTGTCAGCTGTTTAAGTTGTTGAGTCAGCTATTTTGTCAGCTTTTTAAGCTGTTTAAGCTGTTTGGTCAGCTGTTTAAGCTGTTGAGTCAGCTGCTTTGTCAGCTTTTTAAGCTGTTTTGAGTCAGCTGTTTTGTCAGCTGTTTAAGCTGTTTAAGCTGTTTGGTCAGCTGTTTAAGCTGTTGAGTCAGCTGTTTTGTCAGCTTTTAAGCTGTTTTGAGTCAGCTGTTTTGTCAGCTGTTTAAGTTGTTGAGTCAGCTATTTTGTCAGCTGTTTAAGCTGTTGAGTCAGCTGTTTTGTCACCTGTTTAAGCTGTTTTGAGTCAGCTATTTTGTCAGCTGTTTAAGCCGTTTTGAGTCACTTATTCTATCAACTTGACCGGAAAGTCTTTTTCGCTTTTTTTAAACTTTTTGAAATAAATAATGAACCAATCGATCGACGATTTGCTTTAACGTAAAGTCCTCTTATTTATTTACAAATTGCTCTTTAAGAAAGCTTGTGTTAGTTAATTTTTTTTTCGGTTATTCCAGTCATTAAATATCGAAAATATAAAATTTGATCATTTTTCAAACAACTCACAAATCCAATATGTATGCACCGCTCCAAAATCTCTTTTCCACCTCTGATAAGCCTCATAGCCGGGACTTTTCAACAACACTTCCAACAGGTTACCGACGATTGGAAGAGGTGTTGGACCTGTAAAGAATGGAATCCTTTTGAGTGAATCGCTTTCTAAAATGTCCTTCAAAGAAACAAAACTACCGGAACGGCTGGCCGACTGGCTTGCATGCTAGTCTCTAAAGCGAACAGCTGTTAAGCGGCAAGTTCGACCCCTGCTCGAGTTAGTTAATTTTTTGCTTTTTTTCATCGAATGTTCAGAACTTTACTAGATCAATTTGGGTTTTACTAAATTAGCTTTCAAAAGCATAGAAAAGTAATAAAACTGCTTATTTGAAGCATTGAAAAAAGCATTTTTTAGAATACAATTACTTGAGATTTACTTGCCGCTTTACTCAAGTAAAAAGTTACTTACTTATTCAAGTAATTACTTTTTTGAGGCCACAGTCTAGTAAAGAATGACTGAAAGGTGAAAATATTCAATAGAATTTATTGAGATTGTCAAGCAGATGATTTTGATCAACATGCGGTAATGCGGTAAAAGTACAACTTCGGAAAAGTTACCTGGCGGGAAATTTCTTCTTTTCCAATAAAACTCGTAGAACAAGTATAATGTAATAAAAGCAGCAAATAATATTTGTAACATAGCTGAAATATATCTATTTTTAGATATCTGAAAAGTGACAAACGAAATAAAATTGAGTTTTCGTCCATAGGACAAGGACAAATGCTCACCGAAGACAACGAACGGATTCAAAAAGATGCCGCGAGGCCTAGACAAGAAAGAAATTAAATTAAAATTGAAGCCTAGACAAGAAAGAATCTGCAATTCAAAAGTCAGACTGATAATTTCAAATTTATATTCAAATCAACTTCAAATCAAAGCCTAGACAAGAAAGAATCTCCAGTTCAAAAGTCAGACTGATAATTTCGTTTATAAATAATGTATTCTTCGATAAATCTATTCCCAAAATGCTTGCCAAGCTTGTCGGAGGGGATAAACTGTCCGAATAATTGCTGAAAAGGCCTAAATCTTTGTCTATACAAGCCCAAACAAGGAGAAATGCTCACCGATGACAACAAACGAATTCAAAAAGATGCCGCGAGGCCTAGACAAAAAAGAAATTAACTTCAAATCGAAGCCTAGACAAGAAAGAATCTGCAATTCAAAAGTCAGACTGATAATTTCATTTATAAACAATGTATCCTTCGATAAATCTATTTCCAAAATCAATCTTGACCTTGAAAGTCTAATATTTTTGAGAGAAAAATAAGAAACACTCTTTGATTTTCTTTGATTTGTGCGAGAAAATCCCTTACTTCATTGAGCATTCATTGAGTTTTTATCAGGGTAAATGGGGGTGGGTTTTGTCAAAAAAAAATACGATCGCTGTACTCTGTGTGTTTTTCAAATTAAACCCTTTTCTGTGCGATTTTGTGCTGTGTGTGCGATGCGATCGCTGTACTACAAATCTACAAAGCCACTATCAGTGTGTAGGAGAATTTTCAAAAGTTCAAGAAGCAAACAAAATTCCCCCAAAAACAGCACAAAATCGCACAAAAAGGGATAAGTGTTTCTTATTTTTCTCTCAAGAAATATTAGACCCTCAAGGTCAAGATTGATTTTGGGAAGAATATCAAAGAATACATTGTTTATAAATTTGAAATTATTAGTCTATCTTTTGAATTGCAGATTCTTTCTTGTCTAGGCTTTGATTTGAATATAAATTTGAAATTATCAGTCTGACTTTTGAATTGCAGAGTTTTTGTTGTCTAGGCTTCGATTTGAAGTTGATTTCTTTCTTGTCTAGGAATCGTGGCATCTTTTGATTTGAATCCGTTCGTTGTCATCGGTGAGCATTTGTCCTTGTTTGGGCTTGTATGAACGAAAACCCAATTTTTTTTTGCGTTTGTCACTTTTCAGATATCTATCTATAAACATAGATATTTTTCAGCTATATTACAAATATTCTTTGCTGCTTTTATTACATTATACAGTCGAACCTCTCTATAACGAACCTCGATATAACGTAAACCTCTCTATAACGTAAGGCGTGCCCGGTCCCGGCCGACGTTAAGCTATATAAAACGGCACTCTATATAACGTAAACCTCTATATAACGTAAGCTATAGCCGTCCCGTGAGTTACGTTATAGAGAGGTTCGACTGTACTTGTTCTACGAGTTTTATTGGAAAAGAAGAAATTTCCCGCCAGGTAACTTTTCCGAAGTTGTACTTTTACCGCATTACCGCATTACTGATCAAAATCGTCTGCTTGATCAATTTCAATATATTCTATTGAATATTGTTGATAGATCTGAGCATTAATTTTCACATTTCGGTCGATGAAAACGAGGGGGTCTTTCCCGTAGCACAGATGCCACCGCAAACCATCACCGATCCTTACACGTCTTTCTTGTGGCATCCGAGAATCACTTGGCGTCTCTGATTTTTATCCATCGGCAAGATTTCAGCTGAAAAACAACAGTGATTCCAACAATTTAATAATTAAAATATTAAAAAAAACATGAAAAAGACCAAATAAACGGCAAGCCACTGGCGAAACAACTTTCCTGACGCACTGAAAAACACTCCTGAAACTTTTGCGACACCTTGTTTGCATTCGGTGCAGAAAATTTTTGAAATCCGCCTTTTGAGCTATGATCGACACTGTTTCCCAGAAATTGGCCTGGTCATTGACAGCGTTATAGTGAGAGTAAATAACTTACTGATATATCGGTATTCTTTAGGTTTTCTGCTTGTTCTATTTGTAAAAATAAACGACCCGATCCGGGAAGTGGGAACCGTTGGAGGAGAGCTTAAGTTCCACTCTTAGTCCTCTTTCTGCAAAGTCAAAACTTCAAAACCACTCCTACAACACCTATGACAGTTGCAAATTGCAAAAAAAAATGAAGTTTGAGGTAGAATCAAAACGAAATTTATTTCTCAAAACAATGACACCCTCGATCCTTCCCTCCTCTGTGGCGGCAAATTTCTTGCGGCCGGCAAGCTCATTTTCTTTCCCAGTCTAGCGATATTCTTGACAATCTCCATCTTCTGCCATCTTTCGTTTTGATTTCCGAGAATCGTTCCCTGCACATCACTCAACATTCTCCGTCTTTTGTCAGCTAAACCAAAAGAAAGTTGAAAACTTTGATCATTATAACCTTTAACACCAAGTAGACTTTTTAATATACGACGAAGAGATCTTGATCCAAAGATCAAAATCTGCGAGTTGATGCTCGTGTGCCAGCTGACCGTTAGCAAAATAAGTGACGGAACTGAAAGTTTGGGGTAGAATAATTTCCGCAATTTTTTTTGCGCAACTGGGTCGTTTGCGCAACTCTCCATAACTTTCTTCTAAGTCAGGCAATCATGATTTTGGTTTCATTTTGTTGCACTTATTGAGATCTACAAAATAAATCAAAATCATAAAGATTGGTCCATTGAGAAGAAAGTTATGACGAGTTGCGCAAATATAATGACAAAAATGAGCCTACCCCCAATAATCTTCAAATCAACCTATGGAAAAGAAGACTTGCCTTAAAAAAAAGACTTTAAAGGATTTTAGCAGTAATTTACCATCCCGTTTATAGGTTGATTTAAAGATTATTGGCGGTAGGCTAATTTCTGTCATTATATTTGCGCAACTCTCCATAACTTTCTTCTAAGTCGACCAATCTTTATGATGTTGGTTTCATTTTGTTGCACTTATTTAGATCTACAAAATGAAACTAAAATCATAAAGATTGGCCGACTTAGAAGAAAGTTATGACCGGTTGCGCAAAAAAATTGCGGAAATTAGTCTACCCCGAAAGTTTTCAATTAAAAATATAATCTTTTCATTTTCTGGTTAATTAAACCGCTTTTCTGGAAAATTAAGGATTAAGTACGCCAGAAAAGGTGTGTTTAGCCAGATTTAAGCAAAAAGAACACCAGTCCGGAGTATATTTATAAACCCAATAAATCACTGTATGTTTAAAAAAAGTTCAAGTAAAACAGACTCATCGTCGGAGCTATCCACCCGCACATCGATGCAGCGAACAGCAAAATTGGGCCAACAAAGAAGAATGCAAGGTTTAGAGACTAAAACTTCTCTTAACTACCAACTTTTGTAGCTGAACTGCACTTGTAACATGAGAATTCTCATATAGGTGACATGGGTTGCTCGTGTTTTTCGACTCTTGATTTGCAGCTTCAACTTTTTGCTCAAGAATATCAAATGAAGAATTAGAAGGAAAACTTGGAGCCCAATTAAACAGTTGATTACAAATACAACTAGGGCAAAAAGTTCTGAAAATTTCTAGAATCTTTGGAAAAAGTAGAGTTTACTTTGTATTTTTGAATCGCAAATCCACAAATAGATGTTTACATTGTTTTGCATTACTGAAGACAACTCGCTGGGAATTTCGAAAGAAAGCTCCTTAATCGGTTATTGGATTTGCTTTCAAATATACGAGTTTCACCTGAGAATTGCTTACTCCATATAATAATTCATCGATAACTGTAGAAAGTAGATTATGAACGAGTTGGTAAAGCCCAGTTCCATCTGGGTTCAGAGTCTAAACCAGGAGCACAGAGTGAGACATAATTCTCATAAAATAACTCGACCATTTTTCGGTGACAATAAAAAACGGTGACAAACTTTTTAGCTCATAAAAATGTAATAAAAAGATAAAGCTTTATTTTGAGTACAAATAGCATTTAACAAGTATCAATTATAACCTTTGATCGTTTACCGATGTCTACCTTTTGCCCGGATGCAGAGATTGAGACGCTTAGTGAAATTTTGGCAATGGGCCTTCTCCGATGGTGATTTTGTTCAATTCTTGGCTTAACGAGCACTTTAAAGAGCCCAAATTTTTGTGAGGTTTTACACAGGCTCTGGACTCTAAAATCGACCATACGAATTCAGTGGGTTGAGATTAACTGAATGGGAACTCCTGAGCCGAGATGAAGTCCGGAAAATTCGCCTTACAATAGTCCCGCTCTATGGGAAGGTGCGAAGTCCTGTTGAAAAGTTAAAACTTAATTTCCGAAGCGCTGTTGGGCCCAGGGAAGAATTTTCTTCGGATAAACATCTTTATTGCTTTTGCTCCGGAATCAATGGAGAGGAGTTTTGCCCGTCGCGCAAATAGCCGCCCAAACCATCACAGATTTCGGATTTTGGCAATGTTCAACAATTGGAGAGTTGCCGGAAGAGCTCGTTGACCAAATTCGATCGTTTTGACGATTGTAACTTTGCTCCACTGAGAAGAGCTTCTCGTCGGAGAACAAGATCCGCTCCCAATTTGGTTGACCGCTTGACCAGTTTCAATAACATTTAACAAGTGCCAACTATAACCTTTAATCGTTTACGAAATGTCCACCTAGTTTTCAGGAAAAACCAAAAAACCTACCATAGAAAAACTCTCAAATTTTTTATTTAAAAAATGGTTTTTGAGAATCGCTCGAACGATTGTCCTATATTTTTCTGTATTCTTTTTAGAAATTTTATATCCCGTTAAACTGTTGCAACATTGAAAAGGAGCCAAATCGAAAGGGCAATGCGATCTGACTCTTTGCATATTTGCAAATTTAGATATTAGATAAAACTCAAACGAGGTTACAGTATTTTCCATTCGTACCTTTTAGAACGTTGAAATG